CGCATGTTTTCATCCGTGTAAAAGTTTGTTTTGATTATTTACATTGATTGAACAATATACTATTTCTTCAAGAAGTATAATTTCTCATAAGTGTAACACAGTGATGACTGCTGTACCCATATTTTGACTATTTTATTTATAATGTCTGTTTTGTTCACGCATCGTTGTAAATATAACGGAATTTAATAAGACTGTCGTACAAGTGAGAGGTTTAGCGCTTTAAAACCAGGTTCAATCCACCATTTTCTACATTTGAAAATGCCTGTACCAAGTCAGGAGTATGACAGTTGTTGTCCATTCGTTTGATGTGTTTTGTCATTTGATTTTGCCATGTGATTAGGGACTTTCCGATTGAATTTTCCTCGGAGTTCAGTATTTTTGTGATTTTACTTTTTTCTCACGTGTCTTTATAGGGAGAAATTATTGTATTTACGGTACTAGCGTATAGTTTAAAAAGTTTACGTCACTATGTATAAGACACGTGACTAATTTTATAGCGGGAAATTTTTTCCCAGAGACTATAACTTTCTAGCCCGCCGCAGACAGAGCAACATTCAAGTTCCATTCCTATAATGAATATATTATGATACATGTATTTATATGTTTTCAAAACTTTACACTTCCGAGTATTTCTCGTGAGACGACTTGTCGCATTGGGTCGGACCCAGGTTTCTAGTTCATTCCATTATTGGGTTTGTTTGGTTGTTCCTGGCCGGTGAGGTCGTTCATGATCGAGTTATTCATTTATTCAGTTACTCAGTTTTCATTCATGTTAACTATAACTGTTTGTATTAGGTTTACCTTATTCTAGCTAAGTTGTACCTAATAGTATATCCATGATTTCCTAATTCGGGGTAATTAAGATTATTGTTTTTTCATATATACATTAAGACGGTGATGTCTCGATATCCTAATAGCATGAGTTCATACATGGCGAGGGACGAAAACAAATTTGATTCCGCAAATTTACAGATTTAACATTGGTGTGCTGATATTTAGAGTAATTATGAATATAATATGTGTTTTCAGTCGTGTATCACCTTCACTGGTGGTCCAATGGATGCCTCTGTCGAAGAGTTGTCACTTGTTTAGACGAACTTATCAAAATAATTGTATTCATTCATGCCTTCATAGAATAATATATTTGAGCGTACAGGGTATACCTTAAGTTGAATTGATGTTGGTGTGTAAAACAATTAAAAAATACGTAACCAATTAAAAAGGTAGTTTTGATGGACGAGCATGGGAAGAAAATAATATTTGTAATGCAAAATTCCTCCTACTTTTACTACAGGAGAGCATAGGGGCTTGAACAGAAATTGATTGATTTAATGGTGTTTGCTTAACATCCAGTGGCAAATATTTCATGGATGTTCAGGACGAGATCAAATTAGCAATAAATCAAGACTATAAAAACAGGTAGATCCTGAAGGTCGGGTAACATGAAGGTTTATTGGACAGGGACAGAAATTTTGCCTCGCAACAGGCCACCTACAGACCCCTCAAAAAATTGTTGCAAGGGTTCTTAACGTAAAGAGAGCGTGGCACTCTCTCTACATGAGGCATCGGACTTAACGTCCCAATTCTGAACGGACGTGGCTGCGAAATTATACATCCAGCACAGCCAAACGGATGCCCTACTTTGGCAAGGGTTTTACTGCCTGTCGGAAGAATATCAAACTGACCGTATTTATATTCCCTCGCCACCCATTGGGATAGAAGGAAATTACAATATAATAAGTACAGAAAATCTCATGAGGAAAGATTCTTAAGAGATCCAAAAGAAGTGGGGAAACTTATGCATGGAATGATAAATGATAGTATATCAAAATATTTTGAAATTATCCACTAGCATTTTTTTTATTGCAAACAAAACTCACATGAGGAGTCGCTAAATGGATACTCAACATTATCTTGTATCAAATCATCTAGCATAATAATGGTATATACTAGTAAAATCTTAGTTTAAAAAAGTTCCAAAAAAACGTATTTATCTGATTTGTCCCATCTCTAAGACACCCACCATTCATCTATCATAAGTGTTGCTTGATAGAGGAGCAGGCTTTTTTCTAGAGACAACCATGCATATATTTTTCAACTCTTACAATACATGATTAAGATTATTTTTAAAATCGATTTCGATTCAAATCAAACATTTTTATCACTTACCTTCCGACAACAATAATAAAGGGGGATAGGATCAATTTCCCATGAATTCAAATCAAAACAGTGTTATTTTTTAAATTAAAGTCCTCCAATCTTTACTAAAACACACATTATCCGATTCTTATGTTTATCATCATCTTAGCGTATATCCGAATATTTCACTTGAAAGTTAGCAATGCACAAAGATGACTCAAAACTGCATGCATTCTTTCTAGATTTTAGAAAAAATTGAGCAATCATACAAAATTATTCGAATCTTTCGGATACACCATAATTTATTTAGGTTCAATTCTTCCTTCTTTGCAAAATGTGAAATTTGATATATTTTCGTTAACAGCAATATATCACTGAACATTTAAGGAAATATGAAAAAATAATTGAATGCGGTTTAAATATTATGAGTATGTTATATCGACTTCGAATTCCATGGAGTAGGTCTTAAAACCTTTCTGATTTTGTACCAGTTAGTGAAACAAATTCATGAAAAATTTGCCCTATATCTTCAGAATAAAACTACATATTTGAAAATTAAACCGATGTCCCCAGTCCCTCCAGAAAACAGGATTTTGCATGCCGAAAGACCCCAATCGCTTCCTTCATACTGTTTTGTACTAACAATCGATACCAGACGGTGTATTTAAACAAAAACGCTTAATGTTATTTATGTAAGCATGCATGAACGGGGGAATTAAAAGAAAAATAATAGGATGAATTTCGTGCATGTTAAAACTGTGAGTATTGTAGGAATACATAATAGCGAGATTGAGACATAAGGGTAGAATGAAATTGTAAACCACCCTCTGTTATCTCTTGGTTTTGTTGATTATACGTGATTTTAAGAAAATTCTAATCTTCATTAATATTTAGCAATAAACAAACGAAATATTTCTGATATAATTATTAATCAATTAAATGGTAGCCAATCTATCCATTTTCTGCAAAATCGCATGACTGATTTCATCTATTTTGGAAAATTTAAGGTAGCTCTATAGGTACCTTATACTTAAGTATAATCTTAGGCGTTTTCTTAGTTTAAGGGGTTTATGCATACCACTTAAGTTTTGTGGGCATGACTTAAACCAACTTTAAGATTTTACTAAGGAAATACTTAGTTTAAGATTTGTTATGCATACCACTTAGGTAAAAAGGGCGCAGTTTCCTTAACTTAAGTGTTTACTAATGAAAATCTTAACTTAAGTAGCTTTATGCATACGGGCCCAGATTCCTTATTTGATGTGGATAGAGTTTAGGCCGTTTTTTATAAGCTTTTTATATCTTGTTTAAGGTTTCTGATATTCAATTGTTTTTTACTCGAGTATTACTGAAGGGACATACATTGTCGAAATGCTCATGTAGTACCGTTAATGTTATTTGTCAATGACCACTTGGTTATAAAATTATCAATATTTGTCAATGACCACTTGGTTATAAAATTATCAATATTTGTCAATGACCACTTGGTTATAAAATTATCAATATTTGTCAATGACCACTTGGTTATAAAATTATCAATAATTATTGATCAGATAGCTAGGCATATTGACAGACAAGGAAGATATGTTTAAAAGTACAATGCATTTTTTTAGGATTAAAATTCAACAACAGATGTAAACAAAAAAGTTCGAGGAAGTATTTGTATTATACTGACAGCATGAGTTTGTAAAAGTTTTTGTCCAATAGATATATTAAATCTATAATTTAATAGATTATATCAAACAGTTTAGGTTTTGTAGAATATAGTTCTTGATGATTAAAGAACAACGAATGATTTCTATAACAACCAAAAGGGAGCAGCAAAGCACTATGTTCAAAATTCGTAAATTCTTTTTTAATATATAAACGTGGTAAAGATTTTATATTTTGAAGACATTTCTTTTTTACAAAATTATACGCACTGGTAAACACTATTGTTATACCGTATTTTTATGTCGTTTTCATTGAATGATTATGATTTCGAAATGTATCCGTAATAAAAAAAAGACATATTTGTACTAATTATCAAGTATGTTACTGAATTTCATTGAAGTAACATACCAAATTAGGGCCACACCTCGATTTACATAGTAATTTGCAAACATGCATATGAACAGATGCAATTAATATAATGAATGAATGAATATTTTATTTGCAAAGGCATAAATAACATGCTATGACAATAAATAGACAAGTATATACAATGTGACAAATGACATATAGCAGAGAACAAAACATAATGTAATAAAGGTACAATTAATTCACAGTACATGATCTAATTTTCAATGCATGTTTCAGATAGTTACACAGTTTAATTGTAATTGATTTAGATTTTACTTGAAGCAAATGAAAAAGTTTAAAAGTATTTGGCCAAGAACAATAATATTTTGTCATAATGTCTTTTTATAATAAATTAAATTGCCAGGAAAAAAAAACCCTCTTAACCTCGTAGCCTCCAACTTTCAGTTATTTATACATATATATAATTTCGACCGTATTCAGATCTATTATGCAATAATTGTAACATAATTTCTTGTATTTCATGTGTCGCTTCATGTCAATTAAATGCATCAGAGCAGTCGTGTACTGTCTCAATTTGTTGGACTGTGGTCGATACCTCTGCTGGTTGAAGAAATGATTTTATTATCGTAAACAAAAATATGTTGTTATTAAAAATTATTTTCTCTGCAGAAAGTAGTGTTATATTTCTATCTTTATGGGTTCATAAGGAGTACAATACCAACGTCCTTTTCCTTTGGTTGTCAAGGACGTCCATTCATCATAATCATGCAATTCCTTCGTTAATTACGTATGGACCAATCAAAAACTCACAACAATAACACTCCCATAATGCAACATAATTTCTTCAGTGGTCCATTGATCTGAATCATTTAGATATTTAGGCTATAACCATCGTCGTTTCAGGCAATCTCTGAATTACCTTTCAAATAGCTAACATGGGAAAAACTACTCTGCTCGTTTTGTTTGTGGCAATAACAATGATTAATCAGTATAAAGGTAAGTGTTAATTTTTCAGGACTTTTTAATAATGATAAAAGAATTTTGCAAATTTATATCGATGTAGGCAGAGGTTGTTACATACATGTATCTCAATCAGTGGTTTGGGAAATCAAATATAAGTACAACTAACATGACTTGTGTCTGTTTAGTATATCATTGCTATTAAAAAAATATGGAATACATTGTGTTAAATTTTAAAAATAAGTACACCGCATACTTCCAATTTGTAAGACTTCCATGTTCAATTTATCAACGGCTGTTAAATAATTGAGTCTTTGAGGGATATGTCTTTGGGGTTCGTGTTTTTTAATTGTTATTTTTTGTGAAGTGATTTTGTGGGTTGTTTCTTGTTTTTCCGTCGTTTTATTTCTGGTTTGAAAGATAATGAATATAGGTAAATTTAGCCAAAATCGAAATTCTATCGGAAAGAAAGTGTTGTTCAGTATTGTTTTTCAAATACTAATCAATTTATTAAGATTAACAATTTATTTTCATCCTATTGTTACGAAACAATAACACATTACTGTTTCAAAATGTTCTTCAACACAAATGTTTAGCACATTTATGATTTGTTTTATCTTTGTGAAATAATTAATCGTCTTTGAAGAATTAGACTTTTTTTTGGGGAGGGGGTTCATGTTGTTCAATTGCTATTTTTCTGTGAAGTGACTTTGTGGATTTTTTCTTTTTTCGTCGTTTTATCTAGATAAAGCAGTGATCCATTCAACAAGAATATAATATGTTACCTATTAAAGATTTTCGTAGAAGTACAGGGTTTGATTTACTTAACTCTAAAAAAATTGTTATAAATTTACAGGCGAACCGAACTTGGCATGTACCAGACGAGATGGATATTGTTCCGATTCTAATAGATGTCCATCATCAGGAGGTTATGTGGAAAAACTAACTTTTAAGTGCACATGTGGTAATGCATGTTGCAAATGTACTGGTAAGTAAAGAATTTATTTCAGCAATAAATATCGTAGGATTTCATACCGACCGATATGAATATTGCTCAGGCCTATCTACTTGCCATGAATACAAATTTGAGACAAAAAGCTGTACACACGCGCAAAATTGATTCATTTTGAAGATAATCTGTGTCGTCCAAATTTTCAACAATTATTCTGAATGAATTGAAAACAAAGTATAGAAATTCCATGACATAGATTAAAGGGGCATTAGTTTGCCAATCTTTAATCTCTTACTTTGAATTTTTCGAAATACTTAAGATTTTCTAAATCTTTCGGAATTTTGTGGTTTTCTTTTTTTTTATTTCACAAATATATTCAATAAATCATTGTGAATATACATACAGATCTTCTGTGTTTTCTTTCCTTTTTTTTATACATAATATTTCCGGAATCCACTCCGTTATCGATATTATCATATGATCCGTGTTCCATTTAAAATTTGGGCACAGTGCATGTGCGCTATAGGATGATCTCGAATGTGTCTAAATATTCTTATTATAAACAGGATTTAACTTGTTTGACAAAATTGATGAGGAAACAAGTTTTATCTAATTTTTTATAAGTTTTCTACTAATCTATTGTATGCCGACGTGTATATGTTTTGCACAAGTTAAATTATTCATCTGAGAATACACAATATTTCTCTTCACTATAAATTAATAATCGTAATTATACATGTATATCTTTTTTTGTATAATGTTTTTGAAACACACATTATGAAATCTAAAAATACCGTATGGTACATGTCGTGACTCATACATGTTTGAACATGCTTACAAACATATCTTGGACACATGCCGACATGCATGCATGAACCTGTGAATGAACATGACCATATTTGGCTTGTACACAATTAATAATTTTGCATACAGTGTTCTGTACTTGTTATATAAGTATTGTTTCAAAACATCTAAACTAGATTTAATTCTGATTCATTTGATACTTTTCAATGATAAAATTGTGAATGGAAATTTGGAATATGTCGAAGAGACAACAACCTGACCTAAGAGCAGACAGCAGCAACAATGAATAGTGAAAACTGAGTTTTGAATAAATATTCCTAGAGTAATTAACATAGAGATGTTCTCGCTCGGACACACATTCCATTAAGTAGTAGATTATAAGAGCATAAACCTTAAGCACGGTAGAAAAGTTTTTTCTATTTGTTTTTAGAATTATCTTAATGTTATTTTTGTTATTAAAATTGTTCATTTCAATAATATCTGAAAATTTCTTTTTGAATTTGTTTTTAAAATGTTTATTTTATTTGTTTTCTTTTCTGAGACATAATGTGCTTTATATATTGAAAAGGATATTATTGTTAGTATGTTATTAATATCAAAGTATGCTGGGTCTTCCATTTTGTACCCTGATACTAAATGTTTAAGTTATATTGTCTTTGTCTATACCAATGGAGCTCATTAATTGCATTACTATATTTAGAAAGTTAGTATTAAATGAGCAATTGACCAAAAAGTGTTCATAGTTTTCTTTTTCTTTACAATGCTTACATAAGTTGTCCTCAGTAATTTTCCACTTTTTTAAAAGTTCATTACATGGCAGAATGTAGTGAATAAGTTTCCATCTGAATATTTTCAATCTATCATCAGTGAAATATTGAAAAATAAAGACAAACTTGTTTTTGAACTTAGAATTAAAATTTTTGTCAAGTAATTTTTCCCACATAAAAAAACATATTTTTTTTTCATTTCAGCGTCACTGGTGAGTAGTTTGTAGACGAAACACGCGTGTGGCGTACAAATTTGTACTCCTGGTATCTTTTATTGGTTTATTATATACCACTATAAGGATGTCACAAGTAGAAATGGATTTGATTATCTATTCCTTAAAAATGCAGGAAAACCCCGGTGTTTGGGGCGTTTGTTTTATGATTAGAACACTATCAACGTATCTTATATCAATACAAACGAAAACCGTCCAATATAAAAAAAACTTCACTGAAACATGAAGTATTCCATTATTATAATAAATGAATCAGAATCTGCTTACCCACCTAAGCGATAGAATACATCTCTGTTTATGATGGAGGTTGTTTTTTCAATTTGTTTTCAATGAAACTCTAGAGCACTGGTTTATTTGGCTTTGTTTTTCTTTTTTGCCATTTTAGTATCTCTGTTTCTTCAAAATATGAATTTAAGTTTAGTAAATTTTTTTTAATTCATCACAAAGCAGTCTCTGCTGTGAAAAATCTGTTAATCACTAATCCTTTTATTAATAGACACATGTCCTAATGGTTCTACATGTATGAATGAAGGTGAGACATGTAATGGAATGAAAGATCCAAACGGATGTTGTGGCACTAGGTTTTGTTGTACACCTATTACGACAACGACACCTGAACCAACGACACCTATTATGACAACGACACCTGAACCATGTGAGCAATTTACATGTAGATTCAACAGATAATCAAAAAATGTTAGGTGAAACATTTATAATTAATCCTACTTTACTGAAAAATAGTCATACAAAATTAAATAAAAAAATTAATATTCAATAAAAAAAAAAATAATTCGCGAAAAAACAACTTAAACATACGAAATATTTCTATATCAGAAAATCTTTAAACAAAATTAACAGCAAATCACCGATAAATCTGGAAAAAAATCTATCGGCATTAAAATATGAACTCCTACAGATAAGAAACTCTTGAATCATTCCAACTTCTAAAAACAATGTCATTTGCAAAGTTGAAAATTAATATAGCAACTGATGTACTGATCGAACCTCATTAATAAAACATTTTTCTTTCTAATGCAACATACAAGGAAGTAAAAAAAATCAAAAGTGAAGAATACGATTTCATTTTAATGGTTGACTATCTAAAAGTGTTCAAATCGGATCTCCGACAAGACACAGATAGAACAACTTTCAATATTTTTAAACTATATTCATTCCTAGAGATTATTAAGTCATCAAAAATGTCAATTCTAAGAATATAAACATTCTGAACACAAATGTAATTCATCTTAAAGGAAAGTCATAGAAAAGGTACGTTAAGCACCAAAAGATCATTTATACAGAGCAGAAAGTCAGTAAAAAGCATGCATATTAGCTAATTGTCAAATCCTACACACTTCACACCACAAAAGCATCAACTCTATTCAATTAGAAGATCATTCAGCAATATAAAGTTTGATATACCAATTCACTAGATACTACATAAGTAACATAAGGGGTACAAATGTAACTACATCAGATGGCCAATTCGACAAATAATGTATCTTCAGTGATGTTTGGTGCCAAATATTTCCAAATAAATGCAAAACTTAATAAAAAATTCAAATAACTGATTAAACAATAAAGGATTAATTTTTCTATATGTCGTTAATTTATGTCGTTATGTTGCTGTCACATTTTCGTTTTCCCCTCAAAAATCATATTTAAGTGTTTTTTTTAACCTTTCAGTTAAATTTCTGAAAATATTTTGATTTAAAACAGTTCTGCATTTTTATGGATAAATACCTACTTTCTTATCTTTGAAAACTTCCAAAAGAATCGATCATCCATGATCCTAGGTTATTATCACTTAAAAGTTGTATGTCTCAAAACGTCCCGAAAGAATCGACCTCAGGTGATCCATGATCCTGGGTCATTATCACTGAAAAGGTTGACGTTATGCGTGTTACAGTTCTAGTTTGTTTTATAAGCTCTAAAAAATGATAACACGTTATCTATTTCATGCGTCCGAAGCGCCTTTCTGGATTTACCTTCATTAGGAACGGTCAAAGCCGAATATTTGAAAGCCAAGGATGTATAAGGAGCGAAAACGTTGAAGAGCTATACACAAAAAATCTAAATATGCACTATTAGGTTGTCATTTATAGCAAAAAATATGGACCGTTTGAAATAAATGATTATGACAACTTCTAACCTCGAATCAGGAATATGAGAATAACATGACTTATCCTATTCGGGTTCATGGAAGGACTTGTTGAAAAAAAAATGAGAATAAATGGGCTGATATTGGTACAAAATTATAAATCATTTATGTGATATGTCTACTGGTTGACTGTAAGTTCCCGAGAGTTTCATCAGACCCGTAGTGCAACACTTCTAGACTGTCATGACAATATGGATATATTGTTTTTATTGGAATTTGCTGTAGTTATAAATTAAAAAAAGCCACATACACCGCTCTTAATCCATGTCCGCGTTTGTAAATACAATGGTACTATGTTAATATAATAGCTTTCAAAAAATGTATTTAGATTTTGAATTTTCAAATCTTATGACTTCCAATTTCATTGAGGAGACATTAACTGAAGAAATGCGCATCGGAAGCAGTACAAACAGGTACCGGTAATGTTTTTAAATTAAGTTGATAGGATTAAGAGCACGTCATCAAATGTTTTACGGTCGTCAGATCAATATAGGTAACAAAGAAAAACAATGAAAAACAAAGAAAATACATGAAAGGGAAAGACATAACAGTATATGAAAGATATAAAGACAAACAACAGTACAAATATACTATGCTAAAAATTGAATAACTATTGTTTGTAATGTTGCAAAAATATATATTATAAACCCATTTAATGATTTTACAGGTGTTGTAGACTGTGCTTGGGGGAAATGTAAGAACAAATGTTTATATTATGAGGAAAAAACATTAGATGTAGGGTGCTGTGGATTGAAATGTTGCATGTAAGTTTAATTTAAGGTGGTACCAAACATCTTGACTAAAATCAAATTGGCTCGTTTTATTTTCATAAAATTTAGAAAATATTTACTTTGACCCTTTGACAAAAATATAAAAATTTCAAAAAACTTGAACCACACACTTAATCGGAAATATTTCATTGGATATATAGCAGTTTGACAAACACTGATTTTGATCATTGAGAAGCTTAATATCTCCTTAACAATAGATATAATAGAAATTGAATGGGGAATTCTTAACATGATAAATATCTAGTGTACAGTCAATTTAACAGTAGACACAAAATATAAGATAAGTGGAACAAATTCTATCCAAATATATGACGTTAATTCAGACAAGTGGGCAGTTCATGTTCCCGTTCAGAAACGAGTCGCAAATTGGCTCCAAAATCCAGATGTGTTGAAAAATTCTTATGAATGTGCCTGTCAAGTACATCATTAGCGGTTGTCTCTTGTAGTATCTTCGTGTGGTGGTATTAGGAATATAAAAATGATGCAAAACCTTTGAAAGCCTCCGTTAAAAAAATAATTTATGGTTCAAAGCCGTGGTAATTTAAAGTTTGACATAAGCTTTAAACATTTACCTATCGATCATGTTTGACTCATCGATGTATAATCCATATGTCCTTTAATTAATAGCTGAATAGGGTATTTCGTTCAAATATTGTGTAGAATTTAAAATTAAGAATAAAGCTCTTAAAATAAGACGACATTGCCAAGTTCCAAGGTAATAATTTTAAATCAATACAATTCACATTTCACGAAATACCCCGAATGAAACCGCGATATTTGTAATTATCTCGATTTTCCTTGTATTGTATCAACGTTTTAGTATGCTTTTGAATGGAAACAGTGTGTGCAAAGCCAAACTACAAATTTATATAAAAGCCATTATGATAATGAATTGATGACATGTATTTTCCATTTAGTCTGTACAAATAAAAATATTTTTCTTCGACCAGTTATGCATGTTTAATATTCAAATAATACAAGCTAAAAAAAATTCCTAATTTTTAATTTAAGTTTATAAGTAAATACTTAATTTACTTTATATTCACTGAGCTGCATATACTTTTGGTCCTTTTACGTTTTATGAGCTCATCAAATTTAAAGAGTTTTGGATTTTCAAATATTTTGGCCTCAAGCAACACTGCAGACATTTTTTGTAAACATGCGCACTTATTGCGCTGAGTGCAGTAAAATTCTAACCGTTACAGTTATTATAGATTAACGAAAACAATCTTTTTATTTCAGTTATGATGGTAATTGAAGACAAGTTTATTGGAAAACATCTACTGTGTAACAGTTAAAATAAAAGGATAAAAAATTGTATAACATTGTTGTTGTTCGTATGACATATGTTTCTCGAATAACTTTCGACACAAAAACGCAAAGAAACTACAGGGATACTTCGAACCCAAAACGCACAAATACAAAACGGTTAATCCAGAAATTATCGTAATGCCGTTTATTGTTGTCCATTGCTACGTCCTTCAATTTTTTCACTTTGAAAATACCATACCGTATTTCAATTCAAGCTACAGTGATATCTGGCTTGTCAACACTGGTGTTGTGAGTTTGATTACCGGTTTGGAATAAGATTCGTTTGACTCAAATCTTAACTGAATAGGTTTGCTAGTGCTCCAGCAGAAAGTTCTCTCCAGGCATTCCGACTTTCTCTACCAATAACAGTACTGTCCGCCATTATATACACAATAGTGGTGAAAGCGGCATTTATTACCAACAAAAAATAAATGAATTTTAGTAATGATAACTGAGACCTATCTGACGTACAAGTTATGCTTTAAGTTATATCATTACGTCACTTCTTGTATAAGTTTTATTCTTACGTCAACACTTGTGTAGGATGAATAGTACAAGTTATATTATTACGTCAACACTTGTGTATGATGGATAGTACAAATTATATCCTAAAGCCACTTCTTGTGTATGATGGATAGTACAAGTTATATCATACCGTCACTTCGTGTGTACGATGGATAGTAATATGTCGATTGCAATGTATTCTGCAAATTCTTATGTTTCACACGTGCTTCTCTCAAATAGGACATCGTTTGAATATTTGAAGCGGTTTGGACCCTCAGATACTGTTGAGGACAATCGTATGTTGTAATCTTGAAGATTATATTTCCAACTTCTTTTTAACAGACTTTTATCCCAGTTTACTCCTCACTTTCGGTCTAATTTTGTCAATATAACATAACTATAAACTCATACAAGCGGAAGGTTTAGCTAGCTTATTAAACCAGGCTTAACCCTTCATTGTTTTTTTCTGAAAATGCTTGTACCAAGTCAGGAATATGGCTGTTGTTTTAACTTGTTCCATTGATTAATAACGTTTGATTTTGACAGTTTTTATGATCTTCACCTTTTTGAATTTGCGTTGGAGTTCGGTATTTTTGTATTATTTTTTAAAAATAGAAAACCCGAAGCGCTTTTTAAATTTACCTTCATTACGAACGTTCAATCTGAGAACATCCCACGTTGGTTCAAGTTAAGATGATTTTGTGTTCAAATTTTTTATAAACCATAATTTCAAGTGACATACTTTGATTAGCCATTTTTACCCGCAAGCAATGATTAACGCAGTTCAGTTCTCAGCTACTGATATAGTTTTTGACATATTTTATGAAATTACCAGTCAGGCAAATTTGACCTTTTATGAATTTGGCTATTCTTTTAGGTCCCCTTTGGTCAATTAGCTCCAAACGTTTCTTCGTATGTATACATATAGAAATAAGGAGATATGGTACGATTGCCAATGAAACAACTATTTACCAGATTTTAAATGACGAAGATAAAAGCAAAGTTATTGGTCATTTTACAGTCTTCGACAATGAGAAAAAAACCATACCGTATAGCCAGCTATAAAAGGCCCCGACATGAATAATGTAAATCAATTCAAACGGGAAAATAATTTAATGTATGCAGTATAATTTACGGACCCTGGATTTCAAATATAGGTTGTGAGCGTTCCTGGTGAAGGTTTATCCATAAAACCGCTGCGGAAGTTTGAAATTTATGGTGTGTTGCTTGCATTGGATAAAAAATTAACAGTTGTATTGGTTTAGTGTTAAACAATGTTTTATTGAATTAATGCACCCAGTCTCGCTTCTTTTGGAGTTTATTCGATTTACTCAGTTTTGGTTTGCAATGTTGAATTGTATATTAAGTGAGGCGAAAGATACCAAATGGGCCATTCAAACTCACAAGTCGAAAATAAACTGACCACGCCATGATTTGTGTCTAATTAATAAGTTTATGAGTTTGAAATCAGTAAAATATGGTTTACTTTTATCGACTAACGATAAATATTAGTTCAACACGGATTATCTCATTCCGTTTGTTTTTTCTCGACCTATTGTAACGTTTGTGGGTCTCTTTATTTGGTTCATTTATTTATTTCATTATAAGTAATTTTTAATTGTTTTCTCAAAAAGATTTATTATTATTATTTTATTACTTTCCGAATTTTTCATTCAAGAAATTTTAATGACGTGACAAACCTCACATTTGCATTCAAAAAATTCTCTCCTTCTCAACCAATCAGAGATCTCGATTAAGTTCCCGGGGAAATTTAGCTCGTGCAGTGATTGTCTTCTGGCAATTATTCCCAGCTCAGATTCTCAGGTGTGTAGACGTATAGGTAAAGAAGTAACTTTTCACCATGTGCGCGTTTTTTTCGATGTGGTCTCGGTGAGGAATCTCGCGCTATTTTTGCGTTATATTTAGTGTATTTCAGAAAATGTGAATTTTGCGTTTTCTAGGTAAGAAGTCCCCTCTCCCTTTTGATGTTTATTTTGGTTAACTAAAACTGACTAGTTTTGGTCAGGGTTTGCATTGAATATTTAAGCGGAAACTTTAAATATTTACGTATTGAGACGTACTTTATTTAGAAAGCGGTTTGCGGGTTAAATGAATTAATTTATGAGCTGAGTTTTTGAATAGTTCTTTGAACTGAATAAAAGTTTTTAGTTTGCGAATATCGAGATTCAGTGTAATTATTTGTTGGCATTTTCGTACGTGTCTTAAATCTATGACTTGAACTTAAACACAGAAAAAATAAAGTTTTTAAACGTTAACAAGCGAGTTTTAAATGCAGGTTCTGGGCAGAATGGCAGAGTGAGTCTTTAGAGAAAATTACAGTTGTAAAAACATTAACCTTTGTGGTCTAAGAAATAAAGAGACTGCTGAATAAGAGACCATTGGGATTACAAAATCATAAATGTACTTTGAGACGCAGCTGAATTATATTGTCTAATAACAATTGTGCCTTGTACTTTACTGAATTATTTTATTACAGATAAACGCCTTGACCCTGGCCTGAGATAAGTTAACCTAGACATCAAACAATTCCCTTGAGAATTAACTTTCATGGTTTGATATTTGGTACCAGTCTACTCTGAAATTTTGGTATGAAAAGTTTGAGTTGCTGAAATGTGTTTTAGTCATTCCTGACTACAGACCGTTTGGGTATAAGCACTTTCAGAACAGAACGAGTTATTTTGTTTCAACTTTTCTTCATTGATTTACCTGCTGGTTCTTATTATTTGAATATTTGGTATTCTTGTTAATTTACTGGCCTTTGAAATTGAGAACTAGTTTTCGAAAAGTCTGACTTAACGTTTGTTGTCCCCTGCTTGAAACGATCACTATTATCATGGTGGGCTAGTTACATTTTGTTCGTCGGTCTGTGCCACATTTATTCATTGCTTAACCCCAAACTTGTTTGCTCTGAGATTTGCTAGAGTTAGAATCAAATATACTGAGATTTATTCCATTCGAGATGCAGCTTGATGCTTGTGGTATGGAACCAATGAGATAAATAATATACTGAGCTTCCACCAGAACAATTGAATTTGTGATTTTTCCTGTAAATTTATTGAATATCCTCGAAACACTTTTATTGGTACACCGCCAGCTCCTGTGCTGTCTTGTGACGAACCAGATTGTTTCACCTGTCGGTAGAGATAGTCCGATACTATGAAAGTCTGACTAAGGTCAATGTCAAAGAATAGCATCTGGTTAGTCGTAAGAGCAGACTAGTCACTCTTTATCAACTGTTCGAGAAAGATTCTAGAAGCTACTTGTGACTGGATATCTGGGTATAATAACCATCAGATATATAGTTTTTGAATACACAGGTTTAAACCATTTATAAACTGGTGGCATAAACTGGAAAATAATATACTTTATAAAACTTTAAAATATTGTAAAGACGGGAATAACTATAATTGAAGTCCTAGAGTGAAAGCATGGTCCTGTTAAGGGTTCATAGACAGTACCCCGGCTTCGTTTCACTATAAGGTCATTAACTAGGACAGTTGTCACTCAATGATTTTCCAATTTTTGCTTAATAAATGATAAATTTTTTTGTTTTGAATTGTCATTTTAGTTTGTTGATGGTTGTATTGGTCAGAGGAATATGTTTTGTGTAGATAACTGCAGTAACTTCAAAGCTGAATTGGTAAACGATTTGCCTGAGCAAACTAGTGCAGCCGCTGGACCTGATGTGCCAGGCATGCGTGTTCAACCTATCTGCCAAGTTTCAAAAAAGCTACACAAAATAGAATAAAATGACCGAGAGCATAGTTCCTGGAAATCAGGGTTTGAATAGAATGACCAACATTTATTGACAATGTAGTTTACCATCCAAGTTGCATACAAATTGGGATGTATATATACGCAGGCATGTTTGTAAAGTATTGAGTTTTGTTTTATTTAATGAGGTTCAAGATTTGGGATTAAATCAATAGACCAAAACTTACCTGTATTATTTAGCTATTTAAAACTAACAATTAGTATTGTAAAAATTATTGATACCGACGAAGGATATTTTTAAAGCCGAAATATTTGTCAACACGATTTTACATACAAGTCTAAATTGAAAACAACGTTTAAACCTATGATTGCGTTGGATAAAAACCGAAATTTTTATACGTGTGCATGCAAAACAAATGTCTAGGTAGAGGGGTCTAATACAGCACAAACAACATTTTCCAAAAGACCAAAAAAGTGAAAAAGTATATTCTAACAAAACGCATTTGACTAGCAGGTCGAACAACGGATGTTCTTAAACACTGCTGACTGCCATGGCGATTGCCAAATAAACGGATTACCAGATGTAACAAAATGGATCTTAATTAATAATTTAATAGCAAACAGAAAACAATAAACTTGCGGAGAAGATGGTATAAATATATGTGTCCCATTCTATATCGTCAAGACAAGCTGTTCACAACGATAGGAAAAAGTGCCACGCATGTTTTACGCATGAAAAAAAAGTGTGTAAAACATGCGTATAACAGGCGTGT